ACACATTGCCTTACAGACACTATAAATCTTGCTGAAGCTTGCTAAAATGAGAAAAAGTATTCTGAAGTATTTAAAATTAATAGCTGGGTTATTCTAAATAAGTATGTTTAAGCACATAGCTCAACCAAAATAGGCTATTAATATTTAAATTGGCTCAGAGAGTAAGTTAAAGGATGACACTCTTTCATTTAAAATAACTGGTTTTAAGGATTCTATTGCAATATAAATAGTTTAAGTGGCTATCAGTACTTACAGAATCCAGTAATTTCTGTTGTCATTTGCCTAATTTATTCAATACACTAGCAGAAAAACCTATAAGCTATGGAAAGAGTTGTACTCCACAGTCAGTTGATAGCTTATAAAGAAATATTTAAAAGTAAAAGTACACTATAAAATAGGAAGAGGCTGTAGCAGCATAAGGCATGTCCACATGTAAAGTACACCATGACATATAACGTGGTTGGTTGTAGCGACATAAAGCACCACAATTATTTTAACTAAGTTCAAGCATCACATTTTCTTTAATAATCACTTAAAATGGGGAAAATATGAAAATAATCTTGGTATCAAAGTATACTGTAATTTCATCCTTATTTTTGTGATAAAGACATAACAAGAAACAACATAACTAGAAACGCTTGTGTCTTTGTTGTTCTTAGCCTTCACAAGGAAGCATCAATGCCTTCATTCCTGACAGTGCACATGGCTTTTAACATTTGTAAAGCAACAGTTGATCCAAATGGGTTTCTGGAATTGTGCTCGAAATTATGCTTCTTGCTCTATTACAGGCCTCTGTTGCTCCTCTCTTTGTCTCTCCCCCACTGGGGAGGGGTTAAATCCACTAGCTTCATTTAACCTTGTAATATATAAAAAATTTTAATCTTTAAAGGTTACACCCAAATTCAGGAGTGATCACATGATTCAAAAGAAAGAAACACTTTAGAGATTTGTTTTAAAATATAAGTTCCCCTCAGGAGAACTTGACAAATATAAAACCAAGGTAAGAGGGATGAGGGCAGTTGGCTAAATGAAGCTACAGACAGAAATAATCGATCTCTTCTGTAAAGACCAAGGAGTGAGGTTTTTTTTTTTTTTTCCTGGTTGTAGCTTACTCCAACAATACATTCTTAAAAATTCTTTATACAATGGGATTTGTCAAGTTATATTCTGTGCACCTCAGAACTTCAGAAACAAATACTTATTAATTTGGCAACTATTCATACTGTATTAAACAATTACTTTTGACAAAAATATTACCAAGATGGCTTCAGAGCAGTAAATACTAGTCAACATAAACTGATTATGCCTACCTAATTTACTTACACAGTAGAGCCCAAAACCTCATAATTAAATATGTACAACTATTAAAGAGAAAAATGTACTTGAAGAATTATGCAGCAGACGTAACCGAAACCTAAATGAAGGCTTCCTAATTTAACCAGGCCAGAGTGCATTGAGACTTACATAACTCACCAAGAATTTAACGCTTAGCCTTTCCCACTGGCACCCGTGGAAAAAATACCACTTAATGCAATATCTCTCTCGGCATATCTCAGAGGCCTCTAAGGTGAGCTCTCCCTTTCTACTCATCTACTGCAACTTGGGCTGCATCCTCATTTATATAGAGTATATTTCAGAACAGGTCACAAAATTCATAAACATTCAGTAATATGTGGAAAATGGTCAAATAAATGTATAGGCAGAAATAGACAAAAGACAAAATAACACGAATACAAATTAAATTGTTAATTAAAAATATACAAGGATTAGCCAAAGAAACATTACAAGAATTTCATTAAGCACTGACTAAAGGCTTATTACATATCTCTATATTAGTCATTCCAATACTAACTTGACACACCTGAGTACACAATGGCTTCCATTTCTCTTAAAATCAATCATACTGATCTTTAAAAAGAGGAAGCAATTCTACCATAAAGGTTAACAATATATAAGCAAATAAGTGTATGCTCAAAAGCAAATCACATCCAGAAATCATTTTATATAAATGGATATCAAGAAATAGTAAGCTTAAAACACCACTGTCAGAATCTTTAGAAGGCAAGGAGCAAGGTAAGCCATTAAACAAGTACCTCTCAAAGTAAAAGGCTAGTTTCACTCTTCCCTTTACACTCAGAAAACATCCAGCCTGTGGTTGGTAAGCAAAATGAGAGACGGGCAAAATGTGTTTTACTCAGCCCATATTCCTATCATCTTTCAATCTCATTACTTTTATAACACTTGACACAGCTCTGACCAATAACGAGACATGTCCAAAGCCACTAAGTGTTAGTGTCTTCATTAAATACCGAAGCCCTACCTCCACGGAGACTGGGTTACAAGTTCATCCTGCATTACTCTTTTTCTCTAATCACCCAAACTCTCAGGAAAGGGTCATCTTGCAAACAAAATTTCAACAGTATCCCCTAAAGCTCTAATTCCACTGAAAACTCTTTAGCTCCCTCTGCTTATTTTCTGCAATGTACAATATTAATGCAGAGGTGAAACACGGTGGGAGAAATCAAATTACACAGAAGTGTGTCTGCCTCAACTATGTTTATGTTAAGCTCACTGAATTTTAATTTGTACCATTAGAATTGGAAGTTCATTTTACTAAGAATGGATCTGACAATAAATAACCATTACCTTGTTTTACCACCAATGAACTTAAACTTTAAAAACAAAACAGAACAACATTCTTAATCATGGTATTTCTAACTTTACAATTTTATATGCTAACCTAATGTCATAGTATACTGACATATCTGTATAAATTGCTTTCTCCCTCAAATATAAAATGAAGTTGTTTTTATTAACGTTCTAGGGAGAAAATACTTTAGTTATTTAAGAATTCAAATTAAAATGTATGCCTTCTTTAAAAATTCCAAGCAACATTCCTAGTGGCATTCCTAGTTCTGTCTGAAGTCAGAGGATTCAATCAAGCTGTGGTATCAGCATGTTGACTTAGTGGCTGATGACTCAGGGTCACTGATCATAGCTAATGTTTGGCAACTACCGTGCATCATATAGAGAGAGCAACCAATTTCAGTTCTGCCAGGGCTGCTGCTTGGAAACAATAGAAGAATTCAATAATGGTCAGAAAGGAAACATTGTCTCAGTTTATTTGGGTGAAGCTTTGTTCTGGGTAATAGCAGTTCTGAGTGCTAAGTGTGAAACTTGCAAGCACCGCCCATAGTCCCGTTAAGGTATTCTGCCTGGCGCAGAGATGCTAGTGATTAAAATCCAAATCATATGTCAGTATAAAATTAATCATTTCCTGGACATGAAAGAATCTCTGAAGCGCCACATCATCATGGCCTTGCCTATCTCTGTAATGGCAGAGGCCCAACAAGAACAT